AAATCTCTCCGTGCTTCAAACACACTTACCCTGTCATTCTTGCCACTTTCTGAAGTGTTTTCTGCAAGTATTCTTTGGTGACTATCTTTATGACATGTGATAAATAATACAGAGGATGCTGCTGGTGAGTGCCACCGAAGGCACAAACAGGCTTTCTGGAAACAATACTGTGTGTCCTCATTCATGTCACATTTCTCACTGTATCTTTCACCATGCAACTTCTGGCTTGTACCAAAGGTCAAAATGATTGTGGTCTCCAGATTCTTTTGGGGAACAGCAGGAGCCCCAACCTTAAAGTGTGGTGACCGTATCTTTACTTTCCTTCGAGACCTGTTACACATGGTCTGAAATGCAGGGTTCTCTCAGTCTCTCTTCTCTGTTGGTGCGCTGGTGAGCTGTGGAGGAGGAGCAGCATAGGAGCACCTATGATCGGGTGTCTGTCTCTCACAGTGGCCATGGGGCTGTGGCCTTCACCGGTGCTTCTCTCTTTTCTTTCGCCAGTCTAAGAGCGACCAGAAGCCTGACGGGTGTTGCACCTGGGTATTTCCCTTCCCCAGGTGAAGTAGAGACCTTAGCTAACACAGTAGCTCAGACTCCAGAAAAGGGCTCCTCTTGAGGACAGCCCCTGTTAGGAAGAAGAGATGGCTGCATGCCCCAGCTCTCCCCCTGCAGGAAGCAGGAAGGTAGATGTGTCTGGTGTTCACTGTGAGAGCCTGATGGGGCCCCTGGAGGGAAATCCCATCTGGGAAGTGCAGCAGCCTCCCTGAGACTGTGCCCTCTGCAGCTGTTAAGTCTCAAGCTTGGCTACCCAGCCTCCCACCCCTCTCCCCTTACAGATCTGGGCGTCCTACCTAGTACTGGTTCCTGAGGAGAATCGTGCTCTGGCCTTCAGACTCTCCAAGGCTGTTGCTGTCTTTATTTGCCTTTTTCTCCCATCTGGGGCAGAATTTTGCCTTGTGCCTTACTTCCCTGCAGGAGCAAAGAAATACTGTTGGTTTTGTTTTAGTTTTTGGTTTCTTTGTGTGTGTGTGTGTGTGTGTGTGTGTGTGTAAAGGGCAGAGAGCATTCAAAGCTCCTTCTTTGATGCAAAGGTAGAAATCACAAGAGAAATTGTAAATCAAAATTGTTCACGTATTATTTTTAATTGATTTTAAAATTTAAATGCTTTGCTAATATATTTAACATAGCATATAACTATTTGTATAGCAACAGCTAGGATGTGCTGATAAGAAACTCAAATACAGCCTATCAGTAAGCATAATGTTCATGAACTGGAAGAATCAATGAAGTGATAAATCTTAAAGTGATCTATAATTTCGAATTAACTACAATCAAATAAGAGCTGGATTGTTTTTGTAGATGTAGATAAGCTTATTCAAAAAGCTTACAACAAGGCAAAGGAGTTTACATCAGTCAGGGTTTACTAGAGAAACAGATATAACACACAATATGTAAATGTGTGTAAGAATTTACAGGATTGGCTTACAAGGGCCGCCCACAGAGTCAGAAGTGGAAGAGTGCAGAGCATCTGCCTGCACACTGGAGAATGAAGGATTCAGTCGAGGTTCTGGAGCTCAGTGCAGAGTCTGGCTCAGGAGGCTTATGGGTCTGTGATGAAAGCTGAAGAGTCCGTGCTGGAAGCCAGGAGACGACATCAAAGGTGAAGGGGAAGACTGAAGCTCCTCCAAGGACAAAGAAGCAAATTTGTCCTTCTTCATGTCCCGTTTATACCATCCAGGCAACCAGCCACCTTTGGGTGTAGAATTGTTTCTCTTACTCAAATTGACACAATCAATCAACTGTCACAGAGCCAGAATGGTCAGCACAGAATTTTGAAAAAGCAGCATGAACACAAGGGAACTAACCCATCCACTGGAAAATTCATTGGTACATTTAAGGCAAACAATGCAGTTACATTTATCATTGGGATCTTGTACCCTTACATGGTTCTTGTTTGGAAAGTTTTACGAGATACACTTCAACAAGTTTGTGGAATTTAGGCAAAGAGGTCTTACATATCACACCAAAACCATTTTTCATGTAGGAAAAGTGACAAATTGGACTTTACCAAAATTAAATAAAATGTCCAGAGACAGACACTGCCTGTAGTATAAAATAAGATTGTAGAAAATAAAAATGTTTGCAAAACATAGACTAGCAAAGATTTTTCCCCATTCCCCTAGCCTCCCTCCCCGCTATGATTCCCTATTTACAAAGATTTGTTTCCATTTTTCCTTTTCTCTTATTTTTTCTCTTTCCTTTTTACCTTTCCCCTACCCCTCCCATTTACCCAACACCTTTAGACCTTTTCTTCCTATTACAAAATGTCAGTTATACATTTTGACATCCCCCCTTTTTTTGTACCTGGGATCCAACTTGGGTCCTTGTGCTTGTGAGGCAGGCAGTGGAATCACTGAGCTAAATCCCTGACCTGACCCTTATTTACACTTTTAGTTTATTACAGCAGAGAAACTATATGATATTTACACATGTGTGTCCTATGTTCTCAATGTGCATTCACTTAGCTATAAATGTATCTAGCTTCTTGTTCTTTATGGCTAATATTCCATTTTATAAAAAACAAAACAAAACAAACAAACAAAAAACCCACGTCTTTATCCGGTGTCCAACTGATGGGCAGTTGGGCTGTTTCCAAGCTTTAGCTAGTACAAACTGTGCTGCTACAAACATGGGTGAGCATATATCACTGTGGTATGATTGTTTTCATTCTTTTAGGAAGATACCCAGCAGAGGGATGGCTGGGTCAAATGGAACCTCTAGTCCCAGCTCTTTGAGGTATCTCCATATTGATTTCCATAGTGGTTGCACCAGTCTGAACTCCCACCAACAGTGGAGAAGGGTTCCTTTCTCCCCACAACCCCACTAGCATTTGTTATTGGTTGATTTCCTGATAGCAGCCATTCTTTCCGGGGTGAGGTGCAATCTCAGTGTTGTTTTCATCTGCTTCTCTCAAATGACCGGTGATGTGGAACATTTTTTCAAATATGTATTTGCTGCTTTTATTTCATCTGAGAAATGTCTGTTCATTTCAGATGCCCACCTTTGAATTGGGCCTTTATATTTATATTTGGGGGGGCCTGATTGTTTTCAGTAGCCTAAAATGAAATTTATTTTTTTACCCACATGATTTTTTTTTGTGTGTGTGTGGTACTGGACATTGAACTCAGGGCCTTGCACTTACGAGGCAGGCATGGCACCACTGAGCTAAATCCCCCGCTCTCACACATGATTTTTTAATTTTTCTTTTTCCTTCTCTTTTGTAACTTCTCTCAATTGAATTTTTATTTTGATAGGAATAAAAGCAACTATTTCTCTTTATGCCCAATTAAAAAGCAGGAGGAAAGATACAGGCTATGTATATACATACATCATAAACAGCAAGAGAAATAGAATATGTAGGTTAAAACAATTATATTAAACATTCACTTTTGTGTTATCAGATGAACTTCATTCACTCGAGAACAGTCGAAGAGAAAAGACAGACGAGGTGGGTTTGGGACCATCTCAGCCCTGGCTCCAAACTGTGCTAGCAGCGCCGCCCTTGGCCAGGGCACAGAGCCTGCCGAGGTCCAGGCCAGCCCCAGCTCAGCTGTTGAGTCTGAGGTACAAGTGCTGCTGTGACTTCCCAGGTAAGTAGCAAGCACTCCCCTCGGGCGAGTCTTTACTGTGTGCTGACAAGTTTCACAATCATGCTAATGATCCAGAAGCCTTGAGGACAAGTACACAGGTCTGTGCTTGGTTTTTCAATTTTATCCTGGAGGAGCTGGTCAAGTTTGAAATGAAGTTTCTTTACTAATTCAGCCACCTGATGGGAAGCAGCCACGAAACGGATCCAGCCATCATCCAGAGATGACAAACGCCCCTCTGAAGATGCACATTCACTTGGCCTCCTTGAAACAAGAACGGTGGGCACAGACACCATGCTGCAGTCCTGGATGAACACCTGACTAGTTTTGATATTCTCATGGTACAACAGGTAGGGGCTGTCAGAATGTCTGACTTGTTAGTTTACTGACAAAGGGTGAATGTGTACGTAGCCATCGTTCTTGGTGACAAACTTCAACTCAGTTGATTTTGGTTGCATTCTGACAGCTCCAGTACTGGTCTTCTGAAACTTTCCTTCTGGGGTCTTCACTGCACTACATTTGGATACAGAGCAGAACAAGGCATGACTGGTATCAGCTTGAGGGCCTCTGCATTCGAGGTGGCCTCTTCTGTGGCATCTAGGACACCATCTCCTTCTTGGGCCCTTTTCTCAATTTCCCTTGCTCTGAGCCCCTCCTTTGCAAACCTTATATCTGATAACAGTTCAGTGAACTGTCGTTTGAGTCTGGCAATTTCCTATAATCTCAGCCCTCAGGAGGCTGAGGGAGGAGGATTGCTGCAAGTTTGAGGCCACCTGATTTTTTTGAGTTCTTTATATATATATTCTAGATAATAGAATTTTGTCTGAGGAACAGCTGGTAAAATGTTTTTCACACATTGTAGGTTGTCTTTTAGCTCTTGGTGGTTTCTCTTGCAGTGCACAAGCTTTTTAAAAAGATGAGATGCCAGTTGTTGATTCTTTGTGCTAGTTCCTGTGCTACTGAGGATTTGTTCATAGTCTTTTCCTATGCCAATATCTTCAATTCTATCTAGCTTATCTTCCAACAAGTTTAGTGTTTCTATTTTAATATTTAGATCTTTAATACACTTGGATTTTTGTTTAGTGCATGGTGAAAGATGGGAGGCTGAGGCAGGAGGATCTCTGTGAGTTCGAGACCAGCGTGGGCTACAAAGTGAGTTCCAGGTCAGTCTCAACTACATAGTGAGACCCTGTCTGAAAAAACCAAAAGCCAAAAAAAGAACGTAGAGTCTAAAAATCTCAAGAATTAGACAGTACTCATCAAAACAGAAAAGTGAAATTACGACCGAGAATATAATTAGCTTTAGACAATATGAAATGTTCTCTTTCTGATTTCTTGAGCACCACGGCACCTATGAAAAAGCTTGTGGCAAAGGGGGGTAAAAATAAGAAGCAGGTCCTGAAATTCACCCTTTACTGCACACATCCTGTAAAAGATGGAATCATGGATGCTGCCAATTTGAAGCAGTTTCTCCAGCGGAGAATCAAGGTGAACGGCAAAGCTGGGAATCTCAGTGGAGGGGTGGTCACCATCGAAAGGAGCAACAGCAGCTTCACCGTGACTTTTGAGGTGCCCTTTTCCAAAAGGTATTTGAAATATCTCACCAAAAAATATTTGAAGAAGAATAATCTCCATGATTGGTTGCACGTAGTTGCTAACAGCAAAGAGAGTTACAAATTATGTTACTTCCAGATTAACCAGTAGGGAGAGGAGGAGGAAGATGAGGATTAAAACTCCTTAGTCTGGAATATTTTTTATGAGTTCTTGAAACGAAAAAAAAAAGAAAATATGAAATATTTACAGCTAATCTTAAAAATATGGAATATTTGTACACTGAAAACCACGAAACATTGAAGAGTTAAATTAATAAAGATGTAAATATGAGTGTGCTCAAAAATACCATGTATGTTGCTCCATGTCATTCAGCATAAAGCGAGGATCTCCACTATGAGGGGTCACAGTCTGTGACAAGATTCAACTTGCTCCATGCTGTCAGTTCGTTGTGAACTAAGGTGTTAAGAAGGTGTGTTTTAAAGTGTCCCCTGAATCATGGACCTGGAACATCCATTAATTGACATGCAATGCCACTTCAGATTCCAGCTTTTTAAGAAATGTCACCATGGGAGATGAAATTTGGGACTATGGTTATGATCTGAAGAATAAGAACTGGAAATCACCCAGTTCTTCAGAAAGAGTTCCAACATCAAGGTGACATTGATTGTGTTTTTGGCTTTGATGGAGTTGTGTGAGCTGAGTTTGTACCCAGGAACAGTACAGTGAACTCTAAACATTATAAGGTTTCAATAAAGTGTGCATAGAAATAGCCCCAAAATGGGTAAACAGCTTCATCTTCCATCCTGACAACCTTCTTTGTTACACATTGTTTCCGGTATAGAAATTTCTGTCAAATAAAAATGTTATGCTGTGTCCTCATCCACCTTATTCACAAGTTTTGGCACTGTGAAACTTCTGGATCTTCTCCAAAGTAAAAATACTCATGAGAGGTAAATGTTTTAAGTCAGTTCAGGTCATCAAGACAGCCACAGCAGCACAAATAAAGACACAAAAGCAGATCTCCAAAACTGCTTCAGAAAGTTGCAGTAATGATAGAATTAGTATGTTGAGAGGGATTGACGACAGTATGTCTTGTACTGTAAAACATTTTTTAAAAATTTGAACTTTCATGTTTTTAATCATATATCATATGTGGACATATATATCTTTTTTTTTGTACTGGGGATCGAACTTGGGACCTTACACTTGTGAGGCAGGAGGCAGCACCACTGAGCTAAATCCCTGGCCCAGTGACATATATTTCTTATTCAAGGTTTGGAAGACTCAATATTGATAAGATGCCAATTATTTCCAAACTTATGATAGATTTCATGCAGCAGTAACCAAAATCCAGAAAGCTATTTAATATAAATCAACACACTTATGATAGCATTCATGGAGAAATGGTTAGAAACTACATAACTTAAAGGACTATAAAAAAGATAAAATAAATGGAGAAGTTGCACTACTTGATTTTATGGTTCCTAATAAAGTTAGAATAATCCTTAAAGTATGGTATTGGCTTTACTATAGCAATTCATCAATGGAACAGAAAAGAGTATAAAAGTGGATCCACCTGTGCACACATATATAGACAAATAATTTTTGTTAAAGAAGCAAAAAAGGATTAGAAGCAAAAGGGGAAATTGTTTCTTCAACAATGACCTCTGGAACAATCACTTATCCATATGAAAAAAATAAATTTCAATTCATATCTTAATTCATATAAAGGAGTACTTCATAATGCATTATAGACTTAACTGTAAATCTAAACATATGTCTTCTAGAAGAAACAAAGAAAAAATGTTGTCATAGATTAGTTAATACTTTCTTAGATAGAGCAAAACCCCCATCCTTTAAAAAATTTATAAATTTATTTTTAGCCTAATTATGATCTCTTGCCCTTGAACTCCTTGTTAGGAATTTGAAAAGACACAAACAAGGATAATATATTCTACAAGAATATGTACTAATGCCCTACAATGAATGTAACTATTATGTGTCATAAACTTGTACTAATGAAAAAAATTAAAAACTGCCAAAAATGGTTTGATCTTACGTATTTAATAATGGTCTTATATCTCAAATGTATAAAGAACTGTCAAAACTCACACAGTCCAATTAAAATGGGCAGAAGATTTTAAAACTCCAAAAGGACATATATGGCAAATATTCATCCAAATAAGCCATCAACTTCATTAGTCACTGAGAAAATGCAGATGAAAACCGCACCGACATGAAGCTCCTCACTGGCTGTGGTGGCTGATACAAAAGGGACACCATGTGATGGTGACGATCTGCAGCACAGGAACACTCAAGTGCACGTGGTGAGAATGGCAAATAGCAGAATTATTTTACAAAAATGGTTTGGCAGTTTCTAAAGATATTAACACGCACTTTCCATATGGTGGGGAAATTCCACCTTAGCTAATTATGAAACAAACGTTTAAATGGAAGAGAATATATGGTGCAGTGAGATGCACAGGAGAGAAATTTTGAGGAATGTAGAAGAAACGTTTGGTATTGATGAGTATCTTGTGGCAGTCGTTTCTCAGAGTACATTTGTTTCAAAGCTTATCACACTGATTTGTCAAATGTATCTCACTAAAGTTGTTATTGTTGTTAATCTATGTGTTTTTTATATTTTCGTTTTTGGTTACCGCGGATCAAACTTGAGATCTTCTGCTTGAGAGGCAGGTGGCGGAGTCACTGAGCTAAATCCCCAGCCCTTAAAGTTGTTTTTTAAAAATTAAGTTTTCTGCAGAAAAAAACAAATCTTCTTGAAAAAATCTAAACAAAAGATGGCAAGGAGAGAGTTTTAAATCACTGGTATTATTTAAAAATGCTGGGATATGGTGTTGATAAAAATAAGCATTTAAAAAATATGGTCTGGGCTGGGGATTTAGCTCAGAGGTTCCGGCGCCTGCCTCACAAGCACAAGGGCCCGAGTTCGATCCCTGGTGCCAAAAAAATAAAAAATAAAAATAAATAAAAAATTAAAAATATGGTCTATTTCTGTTTAAAAATCTCGCTTCTGGCTGTAGAATAATGAAATAGGTATACTTTTTCCTGTTCTTCCTACTAAAGGCAACCCAAAGCCCAGGACACTGTACACAGACCTAACACGAGAAGATGCTGAGCAGTAGAAATCAGAAGGCAAAGTGCATAGTGACACTGGGATCCAAGGAACACCGGGTCGGTGAGTCCTTGGTTTTTCTTCTTGCCTCATATATACCAGACTTGGAATGAAGAAGCAGCAACCTGGCAATGCTGATGGGCACAGACACACTCTTAAGTAATCAGTGGGTCAGTCAGAAAGTGTCAAGGAAATAAAATTGGTGAACTGAAGTAAAATCAAAATGTAGCGCCTCTCAAGTTGCTTAAGCGAAATGAGTGTTCGGAGGGAAAACTATAACATTTACTATTTATTAAGAAAGATGAAAGGTTTCAATGTAATATTCTAAACTTCCACTTTAACTGAAAAAAATGAAGTGAACAAAAGGAAGTAAAAGATAATAACAATCAATTAAATTAAAATCAGAAAAGAAAATCAAGTAAACAAAAAGTTGTTTCTTTGAATAATTGAATTAGTAAAAGTGTAGATTAGACCAAGCAAAAGAGAAAACAGAATTAGTAAGTAATATCAGGAATGAAGCAAAGAATGTCACTACAAATCCTGCAGAGAGTACAAGGATAGAAACAAAATACTGAGAATTTTTATGTACACAAATTCAAGACCTTAGGTGAAATTGAATGACTTTATTAAAATAACTAATAAAATTCACCCTAGGTAAAATAGCCTGAGTTAGTGCTGGTGAACATTTTAGAGACTAGGGTCCAAACTGCAACCCAAAACCCACTTAGTGATCACAAAGTGCTAACACTGCAGTTAACCCTGAATATAGAAGTTTTAGTTTAACTGCTATCCCATGCTCAGCTGCTGTGGCGACTCAGCTCGTGTGCTGACAGAGAGCTCTGAGGGCCTGCTGTGGCACGTGTGCTGTAGGTTCGCCACCACTGGAGTAGTGAAGCAAGTATTAAAGAAATCCATGCCACATTCGAACACTTTCTGAGAAGAAATATCTAGATGTAATTGATTTTATGGGTGATCTTTCCTAGGCTTTTAAAGAATTGTCACCAAGTCTACACAATATCATCAAGAAAAAATTGCCCCAATTCATTTAATGAGGTTATCACTATCTTTTTTTGTTTGTTTGTTTTGTTTTGTTTTTGATATTTTATTTTATTTTATTTTGTTGTTGTTGTTTTGAGACAGGGTCTCACTATGTAGTTGGGACTGACCTGGAACTCACTATGCAGTCCAGGCTGGTCTTGAACTCACAGCGATCCTCCTGCCTCAGCCTCCCAAGTGCTGGGATTACAGACGTGTGGCACCATGCCCGGCTATCACTATCTTTATATTAAAACCAAGACAAGGTAGCACAAAAAAGGAAAACTACAAATAGCCCTCATGAAAACAGACACAAAAATTCTCAACAAAATAGTAGCAAATAGAACCATAAATTATACAATAATAATATAGCATTATTAAATAGATTTTATCTGGAGAATACAAGACTAGTTCAGTATGTGATTAAAAATCAATGTAATACATGACAATAACAGACTAAATAGATTTATAGTTCTCAGTCTAAGCAGAAAATTAAACAGTAATGTACAACAACTACTTATGGTTAAGAACTCTCATAGAAAAAAATGGAAGCTTAACCTGATAAATGATACAGAAAATGCACAACTAATATCATACTTCATTGTAAAAGACCAAATACCTTCACAATATGATCAAAACCAATGTAAGAATTTCTATGCTCTATTTCTTTCAAGATTATAGTGGAAATCTTACCAAGGGGTTAAAATAAAGAATATAAAGAAGAGTGGTACAGATTGGAATGGAATAACATTGTCTCTATTCTCATGATACATAGTCAACTATGTTAAAAAATTTAAGGACAATTCAAAAAACTCTCAGAATAACTTTAACAAGATCTCTTGATAGAAACAATGATACATAAACATAAATACTTCCTTTTAAATAACTATAAACATTTGAAACCAAAATTTTTAAGAATACCATTTTTTTTATACTGGGGATCGAACTCAGGACCTTTTGCTTTCAAGGCAGGCATGGT